GTGACGGGTTGGGGTTGCGGGGTGGGAGGCGTGACGGGTTGGGGTTGCGGGGTGGGAGGCGTGACGGGTTGGGGTTGCGGGGTGGGATGCAGCCATGACAAAGCAACAGAGAGAAGAAGAAGAGGAACTGTGAGAAGGAGATTTGAGCGAGAAAGAAGAAGAGGAAAAGTGAGAAGGGTACCTTGAAAGGAGATCTGAGCGGCGGAGCGGCGGAGTGGAGGAGATCGCGTGAGCGAGAGAGAAGAAGAGGAAGAGTGAAGGAGATCGTGTGAGCGAGAGAGAAGAAGAGGAAGAGTGAAGGAGATCGCGTGAGAGAAGAGGAAGAGTCTGAGCGTGAGAGAAGAGGAAGAGTCTGAGCGTGAGTGAGAGAGCAGAAGAGGAAGAGTTGTAATATGTATGAGTATATGCCTCGGTTAATATTTACCTGAGGTAAGAGAGGGATACTGACTCGGTTTTAAGATAACCGGTGCCTAAAGTTTTGAAAAATAATTAAAATTTAAAAACATATACGGGTTATATGCCTCGGTTGGCGCGTAACAGATGTTGAAAATCTTTTTGGCTTCGGTTCTACTGATACCCGAGGCATATAAGTTGTCTAAAACTACGAAAATGCCACCGCGCTTTTATACGCTTCGGTTTCAGTAAAACCGAGGCATATACCACGCGTTAAAAAGCTTCTTTTTTACTAGTGGAAATTTGTATATAAAACAAAAGCTCAATCGTGATGGAACTATACAAAAGCACAAGGCAAGATTGGTCGCTAAAGGCTACTCATAATAACTAGGAATCGACTACAATGAGACATTTGCTCCAATTGCTCGCTTAGATACAATTAGAGTTTTAATAGTTCTTACAACATTGAAAGGATGAAACATTTATGAATTGGATGTCAAATCAGCCTTTCTAAATGGAATGCTCGAAGAAGAGATTTATGTGGAACAACCACAAGGCTTCATCAAAAAAAGGCAATGAAGGCAAAGTACTAAGACTTAAAAAAGCATTATATGGCCTAAAGCAAGTTCCTCTAGCATGGTATAAAAAGATTGATCAATATTTCATCGATTAAGGATTCATGAAGAGCAAGAGTGAGCCAACACTACATATTAAGAGACAAGGTCATTATCATCTCATTGTCTCCTTATATGTCGATGATCTTATCTATACATGAAACAATATGAAATGATGAAAGAATTTAAAGAAGACATGACGAAGACATTTAAGATGGTCAACCTTGGCTTGATGAACTATTTCCTCGGTAAAACAACAAAAAGAAGGTATATTCATCTCTCAAAAGAAATATATTGAAGTTGTACTAAAGAAGTTCAAGATGAGAATGATTGTAAACATGTCACTATTCCGTTGGTCGTAAACGAGAAGCTACAAAAAGATTATCGAGCATAGAATCATCACGCTGCAGGAGTTTGATTGAAAGTCTCTTGTATCTCATAGTCACACTATCAGACATTATGTATGCTACAAGTCTTCTATCAAGATTCATGCAAAAGCCAAGTCAGATTCATTAGGGAGTAGGAAAAAGAATTTTAAGAAATCTACAAATCACAAAGGAGTTTGGTATATGGTACAAGACCATGACTAACTCAAAGATGATTAGCTATAGAGATAGTGATTAGGCAGGATCAATTGACGACATGAAGAGTACGTCAGGATACGCTTTCTCACTAGGGTCAGGTATTTTATCTTAGGTATCAAAGAAGAAACCATGGAACAATCAACAACTAAAGCATAATATGTAGCAGTTGTTGAAACTACGAGTCAAGTAATATGGCTATGAATAATACTTGAAGAAATGGGTGAACCACAAAATGAATCGACTATTATTTATTGTGACAACAAATCAACAATAGCAATAGTAAAAAATCTAGTCCATCATCAAAGAACAAAACACATAGCCATTAAATATCACGTCATTCGAGATGTAGAGACAATTAAACAAATTTGACTCGAGTACTGCCTTACAAAAGACTAAATTGCATATATTTTTATGAAGGCATTACTAAGACCAAGATTTGAACTATTATGCGCAATTTTTGGAGTATTAAAGTGTAATTCAAATTCTAGAAAAATATAGAAAATCTTAAAATAGAAGTATTAAAATGTAATAAAAGTTCTAGAATATTGTAGAAAAGCCTAAGACAGGAAGAAAAAATCAAGAAAATCCTACAAAGATAAAAGTTTAGGACATTCCACATAAGTTGTAGCTAACATGTTCTACAATAATCTATATGGATATAAATATTCATGTACTCTACCATTTAATATAAGACAATATCTACTACAACTAAGACAACTATAAAATAACTTTTTTCAACTATTACTTTCACATTCTACTATTTCTATATTTTTTATTCCATCAACTATTCCTTTCGTAACTTCAAAATATTAACAGACACGATACAAACACACAACTAAATAGAAAATATATAGGACACGGTACAAATAATGAGAAAGGATAGATTGAAAGACTTGGTACAAATAATACTATAGTTAACAACTCTTACCTTCAAATAAACTTGCTTCACCAAATTATCAAATGTGCCATTGAAAGGATAGAATTTGTAGGGCAAGTGATAGGGAAGCAACTCCATAGTTGCTCTGAAAATATCAATGGTAAATCCTTGGAAAGTGGTGGTATTTTCTGTTTGGTCCTGAATTACAGTTACGGATTGTTTCAATGAGTCCATAACGGGGACCCCAATTCTTAGTGGTTTACCCAATGCTAGAATCCATCCTCTTGGAGTTCCCCAAGGTCTTCCTGGCCATAAAACTTGTCCAAGTTCCTTCATTGAAGAATTGAAAGAAGCATTTTGGCCTATAGTATTTGAGAAACCTAGTCCATTTGTCCAGAACCCAATTTCCTTATAATCTTTCCCCATCACATTGATGATCTGAAAAGTATCTGAAGGATCTAACCTTTGGTCAGTGAAATGAATTTTTCCACTTAAGCCAGTAAAATTATTAAGAAGAATCTTATCCAGTAACATTTGATCCTTTTTGTTTTTTATTTGGATCATGGATAGAG